AGCAGTGGTGGCGCATGCCTTTAATCCCAGCACTTGGGAGGCAGAGGCAGGCGGATCTCTGTGAGTTCGAGGCCAGCCTGGTCTACAGAGCTAGTTCCAGGGCAGCTAGGACTATTACACAGAGAAAAAACAATCATAAATAATAAAATTTTAAAAAGATTATTAAGAAGATACTACACTGAGGACTATGTCCATCTGTCTTCCATGTTGTCTTGTTTACTGGGTAGCCATGGCACAGTGACTTTGCAATTGTGTGTAAGACATTTAAAGCAGCAGTCTTACCAGTTCATCTGCAGAGTGAGTCAGCAACCTATAGGAGAAATAAAAAAGAGTAACAAACTTTTATCAACTTACTGTATTTTCATTATAGTATCTCAAGAAATACTCAGGATAATACTTGTTAGACAAGCAATGCTGCCCACCCTTTACACTTCGGGGAAAACATAATTATTAATCTTGACTCCAAGATTCTGGACAATTTGGTTAAATCTTTTACTAAACTCTGTATGATCCCTGATATACATCACAGTTCTGATTTACAAATTATATATGGAGTTATATTTTATCTTTCCTTTTTACTACCTAAAAAATAGCATTTGTCTTATGTAAAATTCCAATGGTTCATTAACCATTTTTTGAAGTTCTATTATATCTGACTGACATTATGGGACTCTACCACGTATTTGTCTACCTTCCTCAAAAACTCTTAAGTTGGAAGCTTTAGGAAACTAATCAAGGAAATAAATGAATCAGACTGTCATGAGACTACATATAACAACCTGTATCACACAGAAGCCTGGCAAAGAGCCCATGCATTATCCAGTAAAATGCAACACAGCCAGATGGTTCCTGTGACCTTCAGTTGAGAGACAAAGGATAGACAAACAGCAAACACCTATGGTGACCATACATGTCCCCTGTTGAATTTCCTGTGTTTAGTGGTTACAGTTCTGGCTGGTATAGGTCCTAGAAGTTGCCACAATGTCACTGAGATAAAGAAATTTAAAAAACAGACAGCAGGAGCTGGGAGTGGTGGTGCACACCTTTAGTTCCAGCACTCAAGAAGTAGAGGCAGGTGGATCTCTGTGAGTTGAGGCCAGCCTGATCTACAAAGTGAGTTCCAGGCCAGGGATACATAGAGAAACCATGTTTCAAACAAACAAAAAAACATTGACAAAATGGAATGAGAAGGGAATGAGGATGTTTATGTCAAACTTGGCAGCTGAGTGGAAGCAAGTCATATATACTAATGTTCATTTACTAGCGTTTCATTTTCTTGAGGTTCCAAGATTATTATTTTCTTTTTTGGACGATATCACAGTGTAGCCCATGTTGGCACTGAATCATATCCTGCTTTACTCATTCAAGGCTGGGACTACAGGTGGGAGGAATTATACTCGGCTAGGAAATAATCATTTTAAATGGAATTTAAGTTGAGGAAGAGTCAGAGACAGGCTGGGTAATCCTCTTGTCATTTGGCTAATGTGTTATCTGCTTTATTACATACTAGCTTTCCCCTTAATGTCTGGCCTTTGTTGATGTCAGTGTCCTTCTATTGGGAGCCCCCTTCCCACCACCCCAAAATGAACTTATGGCATTAGTGTGCATTACAAACACCTGTGACTTTCTTCCAGCGGCTTCTGTAGTTTAATGTTTTCCTCTTGGATTCTGTGCTTCCCATCCTGCCAAAAGAAAATAGCATTATTCAGGATGCCAAATGCTGATGGTACCTCAGGTTTCTTCTGTAGTGTTTCAGCTTGGGCACAAAGAGTAGCTTTCTTCCTCCCCTATTTTCTTCCTTCCTTCTCCTCCCTCCCTCCCTTCCATACATATGTACTTCATACAGAAAGGATTTAACTTTCAAATCAGATTTCTCATACTTTGTTCCAAGTAGTTATTAAAACATTCTGATACAGTTTAGAATTAGTAATTTTTGGAGTATTTTATTCCTGAGATTCAAATATAATCTAAAAGAAATGGCCTCTTTAATGGGCTCAAGGTAATTTGGTTTTTGTGAAAAGTATCTATCTTGACTTTTCTTTGAAAAATTGGCCAAACTCAGCACAGCCTATCCAACTGGATGAGTGACTCTCTGGACACTCATGTAGCTGCCCCACTGCCAATGACTCCAACCTGTATGCAGGTGAGTTTTCTGCTCTGAAGGGCAATGGACCCAGGCTGGTAAGGTAGCCTAGGTGGTTTCTAGGTCAACTTCTGTGATATATATACCACCAGCTGCTCCAAACTGCAGTCTACCTGCTTCTAATAGAGTACTAATTTCTCAGACCACTCAAGTATCCAGCAAGAGGCGCCAGTGCAGCATTTATCCTCTGAGAAGCCCTTCTCACAGCAATTCAAGACAGAACGTTACAGTCTTCTTGGGAAAGTAAAACAAGATTGGCAGACCTCCATCCTACAGATTTACAAGCACTCAAAGCAGTAAATAAAGGGCATCATACACAGTGGTTCCCTTCGCATTTCAAACAGCAGTGTGCACTATACAAAGGATTTCCACTCACTATTGGATTCTGGAGCACATTAGCAGTCAGTTGTCTAGGGGTTATGAAGCATGCCCTATGCTGTATGTGTTAATACACACAATGGTGCTTGCTCCTCTGAATACAACAGACATGTCTCACGCTTTTTAAGTTGCATCATTTCCAGAGGCTGGCCCTGTCCCTGGTCCTGGAAATGATCTTGTACAATTGTGGCTCCTCACCCCTGCAGGTGCTAGCGACTTTCAAGACTGCTTTACACAAAGTTCCACTCTGTTCTTTAACCATTCTACATAACGTTCCTTTCTGTAATTCTAGTTTCTTCTCCTAAAAGAAGCTCCTTGCGGGGGCTGGAGAGATGGCTCAGTGGCTAAGAGCACTGGCTGCCTTTCCGGAGGACCTGAGTTCAATTCCCAGCACCCACATAGCAGCTCACAACTGTCTGTAACTCTAGTTCCAGAGGATCAGACACCCTCACACCGATGCACATAAAATAAAAAATTAAATAAATTATATAAAAAAGAAGCTCCTTGCATATATTCGCACTGAAATCCACATGACATAGAAGGCCTCAAGAAGCAACCCCCCAGCTGAGGAAATTCTGTTGAAGGGGAATTTGGGGCTAGGAGGGACCATATTATACAGTTTTCGTTAGGACTCTGAAAAACACGTGCTTATTACAATAAACAATTCAAAGGAAAAGAGTTATTTTCCTTTCTAGTGGAGCAAGATCATATTAGAGGCCAGCTCAAGATTACATTTCCCTCCATTCTGAGAAGTTTGCTTTTCTGTCTGTATACTGTAGACCACAGGAACTAAGCATGAGGGCTGTGAAAAACTCTCTGGACCCATGAAGCTCGTGCATAAAATGTAGGTGGAATGAGCAATCGAATAAAGATCATTCGTTACCGTGCGGGGCTCCAGCTTCTGGGTCCCCTTTCCTGGGGTACCCCTGTTTTGTGACCTCCTCTCCTTTTCTTGCTTCAGTTCTAACTCAAGCTGAGTCCTGGTTAGGTGGAGAGAAGAAAAAGATGATACTTCTGAAATCTGTATTCATATATATCCATATATTCTAAAGAATGCTGGATCTTCCCGTAAAGTTCAGCAATTACATTTTTTTTTAAATACCTTTATTGGCTCTTGTTTAAAAAAAAAAAAAACAACTTTATTTTATGTGTTTTGGTGTGAAGGTGTCAGATCCCCTGGAAGGAGTTATTGACAATTGTGAGATGCCATGTGGGTGCTGGGAATTGAACCCATGTTCTCTGGAAGAGCAGCCAGTGCTCTTAACCACTGAGCCGTCTCTCCAGCCCCAGCAATTAAGTTTTAATGCCTGATAAAGTTATCAGAAATATATGGACAACCAAGCTCTAAAATACTAGGATACGGTTAAAACTAGTAATGCTATGACATGTAAAAGAGGTTTACTCTTTCTCTGGCAATTCAGAATGCAAGTTAGGAGTGCCCAGTTCCAGCAGGTCAGTTATTTTATATTAATTCTCAATGAAGAGTTGCAGTAATCTGGATGAATGAGAGCATGTTTAAGTTTTTAGTAAGATACACCATGAAAGGATAGGCACTGTATTTCTATTTCATTTATTTGGCTGGTCTCCATAGTTATGTACTTAGTTCCCATACACCCCATCCCCAAGCCACTCAGTGTCCTTGATAGCTTCCTGTTTTATAGTGGCCTCACTTCTTTATTTGCAGCCAGTGGCTTTAGCACCAAAGTGCATCCAACTTGAGAGGTGGCATGAAGGAGTACTTAGGGTTTAGTCAGAGAAACAGGTTTAAAGGGACAGTGTAGCTTAATAGTGTGAATTGGGACACACTGAACCCCTCTAAGCTGTCACTCCATCTAAAAGTAGGGGCAATAATATCACCTATTAAAAGGATTGATATTCAAACAGCAGGAACACCAGTGTGTGAAGTGTTCTAAAACAGATACAACACACTGTAGGAATTCAGGAGATGTTAACCGTTATCACTCAAATTGGATTAGATATCAGTTACTAGATATTTGGGAACTTGGTCTCTAATTCTCTTTTTATTTTAGTTTTTGAAGACAAGAGTGTCCCTGTGTGCAGCCCGAACTGGCTCTGGGTTCTTGTCTTGGCTGAGATTTCAAGCCTGCACCACCATGGCCAGGAGCCAGTTCCACACTATTTGATTACAAGGATGTTGAGTGGATTTTGAAACTGTTCATCCATGTGAACCTTTCTCAGTTCCAACTGTACAATTTGTAAAGCACACTGGAAAGATCAAGCCGAGGGGGCTCAAGACCCGAGTCCCTCCTTGCTGCTTAGCCTCTGCAGTACCCACCACCACCCTGCTGGTCAAGCTGCCCCTGTTCACCGCTGCCTGGTGAGTGCCTCCACTTCCAGCTGCAGACTGTTGATCTTGTCTCCAAAGTCCTGTTTGAAGAGCCGGTTGTCCAACTCGGCAGACTGGCGGCCTCGCTCAGCCTGGCGCAATCTGGATGTGAGCCATATGAACTTGTGATAAAAAACAAAAGCCATGGTGGGGAGGAAGACCAAGTTCACAAACACAAAATAAAACAGCCCAAGGAAGGAGGTATGGGGAGACAGAGGGAGAAAAAAAAAATGCACGACACAGGAAGAAATTATGATGGGGAAAAAGATGGAGAAGAAATAAATTCTAAAGAAAAGCAAGATGAAGGTGAACCAGGCAGAGGGAGAGCTGATTTTCTATTTTTTTTTATTCTAGTACTACAGTTTACAGCCATTAGATGATCAACAACAAGACATCACTTTTGAAAATCCATATCCAGAACCACCCTCAAGTACACAGGCATTTATGCTGAAGCCACCGTCCTTCTTTCCTAACAGGTGGATACTTTATACTTCTGCCTTCCACATACTGCTCAATGTGCAAGTGGAGCTGCCTTGTCATGTGGGGTTATCACGATTTCCTGATCCTTCTCTGGACCACAGGAAGCTGAAGGGTAACCTCTAGCAACTCTCACCCAGGCTTCACATGAGTCCATAAGGACAAGCCTCTCTGAAAGTCTGGCTGTGTCTGTCCTTTCCATTCCTACCAGGTGATACGTGACCCGGTAGACAAAGAACTCAGCACTGGGGTTCACAGACTCCTGACCATATGCTCTGGAAGATTCTTAAGGATGCTTTCTTCTAAATGACTTATAACTTTGCACCTATAAAGAAGCATTTTTACAAGGTGAGACCTTTGAGGCTTTCTATAGGAGAATTTAGAGGCATGCTGCGTGTAGTCTAACTTTTACTGGTTTCGACTCTTCAATGCTCATGTAAAAGGTGCCTCGTCATCATGAAAGTTGGATGGCCAGCAGAACGCAGTAGGAGCTTTATTTATACAGGTACAAGATTATAAGGATTAGATGAGTTCAAGGATCCTCTATTAAGTTGGCTCTAACACAGGCCCTTGAGGACCTATAAAAGCACACCAACTCTGTTGTACTCTTAATTCTGGTTTGCCAAGAAGGTAAAAAATTTGAAGCAAAGGAATTATCTTTGCCTGTCTTTAGCAGGGGCAATGCTACAGAGCATGCCAGAAGGAGGGACAGAAAACATGGAACAAAATCCCAGGCATTGTGTCAAACCTATTGGATGGAGTAAAGGCGCGTGTATATAAAAGCCTGCCTCCCCAAATCAAAAATAGTTTTTTTTTTTAAATCAAAGTATTTATAGGATTATTTACAATGTAGAGCCAAGAAAGTGTTAGAGCTGTAGTTACTTAGAAAAAGAAGCCCTGCTAGTATTGCTGTGGCTATCTATTGAGGATCTTTATCTTGATACTAAGCAATAATGCCAGCACATTATTTCTCATTTGAATTTTTTTTTTTTAGTAATTAGATTATTTTTCCAGAACCGTTAGCAAATTCCCATCACAGAAAAAGTGATAGAAGCTCTTGGGCAAGTGTTCCGGGTGAGGATGGCAGGCCGGAAGTGGTGGCTACTCTGAGGCCTCTCTATCCAGGAGGAAAAGCAGGGTAGATTTGAAAACAGTATTTGTATTAAAGTGTTCTCTCTGAGCTACCTAAGCAGTAAGTAGAATGACAGAGAAGGGCAGAGGTAGAAGGTGACACAAGTTGAGAGGGGTTTGTCAGCTTCCACACTGTAGTGTTAAGAGCTACCTAATTACTACTTTGTTTCTACGTCCTTTAAAGAAATGCAAGGGTGCTGTTTTCTTTTTTTGTCCAAAATCACTAAAGGAAAAAATAAATTGCAAGCAATCTTGGTTACTGAGAATAGAACTGTAATGAAATACTAAATACTCTCCTTGGGCTGGGGATTAAACCTACACAGGCAAGAGAAGAGGGGTCACGGTCTAAAGAGACAGAGCTACTTTAGGTCCAAGGTCACCGGGTTACACCTGTACGAATTAATTACACTGCAGACAACAGGCTCACTGATGTGGCCATGGGTCACCTACAGAGTCTGACCACTATCAAGGACACATGGACAATGCTTCCGCTCCCCAGGCTTCCTGAAAATGGTCTTTTGATTTATTGTTCAACTCAGAAATATTTCTCAAAGTTTATTTGTTGTTTAATGAGGAACCCATACCAAAATTTCTAACTCTGGGGGAGAAAATAACAGCAGCAGCAGCAGCAGCAACAAAACTCAACCTGTATATCCAACTATTTTTTTTAAGTCCAACAAATTCAAGGTCAACTTTTGGTGACATTTTATATAGAATCAGAGCTTAAATGTAGGAATTTCTGACTTCTTCCTCTTTTAGTTATTTTGTAACATCAGACTTGTGAGGTGACCAACTGTAAAATGTCTAATGATGTTTTGGGATCAGTTTATTGGCTGCACTATTTAAGGTCTTTGCCTGTTTCACCAAATCTTTTTCACTTAATAAAATAAAAATAAAAAGTGAGTTGGAAGGGTAATGAGAAAATGGATAAACAGGAAACAAAGATAGTAAGAAAATAAGTCAGATGAGTCATTATTTTAGTTCTGTTGGTCTTAAACGCCAAGTCAAAATCACTGAGGAATAGTTTCAAACATTACAAAAGTACAACTTATGAACATCAGTTTATTAAATCATACACATATCCTTGTTTCTGAACAAGCACTTGAATAATCTGCTATAGAAATGGATTCATGTTTTACTATCAGTCATAGCAATATCAATCATGGCAAAGGTTTCAGCATCATTCATAAAATTTGCAATTAGCTTTAGTATTAACATTAACATGCTCTGCTGTACAGGATACTCCCTCCCTGGTGAAGAATTATCCGACAGAAATCATCCATCTCATTCATTCATTCATTCATTCATTCATTCATCGACTTATGCCATGGACATTCAAGAACTGTGACAGATTCTGTGACAGAACTGTAACGCTTAGTTAACTAACTGCAAGGAGCTCACACTCAGAAGACAAGACACTGATACAGACTACAAGATGAGGTGCACAGTGAGAGACGCCAGGCAGTATGGGCAGCACTGGATATAAAGTACCATTTCTGGCTGGAGGGAGGTATCAGAGGAAGCCAATGTCAGGTGGTGGCATTTGAGCCTTCATGTAAAAAACGGATATGAAGAAGGGAGTGGGGAAGGGAGCATTCATAATTGGTGGCACTATCAGTACAACGAGGGATGGAAAAAGTGGACTGCATGGCCAACATGGTTAAGTGACTATAAGAAGGGTGATGAGTAGTGTTGGGGTAGAAGTGGCAGATGGTCTTGGGTGCTACAATTCAGCTGTGAAGTCTCAAACATTTCCCCATTGCTACAGAGTTACAGGGGGAAAGGGGTGGTTTCAGAGTGACACAGGAAGAAGATACACTGGTGGGTAGGACCGAGTGGAAGATGACAACTCCCCACTTGAGACAGGAGGAGGTCAGAGGGACACACTGTAGGTTTTAGTGAAAGCCACACAACTATTCAGGGGAAAGACAGCGGGCGTGGGCGGAGAGAATAGAGGAAGGAGTTCAAGATGAGAGAGAAAGCCATGATCAAACTTGGAAGACATCTGCCTCACCTGGTATGAAAATACTTAAAGACTTTAGTGATAAAAAAAAAACTATACAATTACAAACACTATTTATTTAGATAGGGTCTCATGCTTCAACCCTGTCTAGCCTGGAACTCACTCTATACAGACCTAAAAAAAAAACAAAAACAAAAAAAAACTAAAAACATTTAATTAAAATATAATTACATAATTTGTTGCCTTCCTCCCTCAGCCTCTCCTGTGTCCTCCTTACTCCCTCTCAAACTCATGGTCTCTTTTTCTTATTACTTACTTACTTGGGATACCCAGTTAGGAGGCTCATCCCTGGGGATGACTGTCTCTCCCTTTCTCAGCTGTTGCTAGGCACCTGTAGCTCTCTGTCTAGCAGTTCGGGGATGTGAGGTTCATTCCATGTTGGCCTGTCTATTATATACACCACTGTTAACAGTGTTTTAGGAACATCATGGAACACACACAGATAAACCTTTACCAACATATCTGATTTAGGGTGCATATATTTCCTGTATTTTCCATTGGCTATATTTCTGTTCCCAGCATTTCCAATACTGAAAGAGTCGTTACAGAAACAGCACTTTTACCTTTGCTCCAGTTGTTTAATGGTGGCAGCCATCTGATTAGTCTTCTCTTCTAAGCGACTGTTCAGTTCACTTTTCTGTTTTACTCCTAGGTCTGAACTCTGGTAAAAAAGAATTATAAAGATATACAGTACATGTTTATTTTAATCATAATGGCAAACAGGAAATAAATGGAACTGCTCTATATTTGTATATCAGTTAACTAATTTCTAAGTAGAAAGAGAAAGTAAAGAAGCATTTTTTGTTAAAATAAGTACTATTCTATGAAGCTTATTACAGCATCAGGAGGCTCATTGATTTATCTGCCCATTAAAGATCTAATGCAATTTACAGTTCAGCTGACACGCTAAACTGCAGAATTGAAATTATAGGATACAAATATTTATATTATTTTTTTTCTTTTTTCTTTTTTTTTTTTTGTTTTTCAAGACAGGGTTTCTCTGTGTAGCTTTGGAGCCTATACTGGCACTGAAGACCAGGCTGGCCTCGTTTTATTATTTTTTTATCTTTCTAACTTTTTTCCAACATAATATTTTTTATTGATTATTTGGGAATTTTACACAATGCACCCTGATCACACTCACTTCCCATTTTTCCCAGGTCCCACCCTTTCACCCTACTGCCTCCCCAGAAAAAACAAAAACAAAAACACAACAAGTCTAATTTGTGTTGCGTACTCATGAATATTTATATTAAATAAATTAAAAATACAATTACATATTATATGAAAGAAAAATACAATATAAAGGTAGAAAGAGAAGTAGGTGGGGAGAGGAAGGATCTATGGGAGAAGTGGGGACAGAAGGAAAGAGGATAATGGCAAGGAAGAAAAAGACATATCACATGTCCTTTCATGTGGAACCTAGATTTAAATATACAAATATAAGGGAAAAGAACAGTAAGAAGAGGGAGTAAGACAAGCAAGGGACACAAGAATGAATATGAACGACGTTCAATGATAAATATGTGCACAAAAATATTATTAAGAAACCCCTATTTTTGGCTAGAGAGTTGGCTCAATAGTTAAAGAGTATTCGCTGCTCTTATAGAGGACCCAGGTTCAATTCCCAGTCCCCACATGGCGGCTAACAACCATCTGTAACTCCAGCTCCAGTGGGATCTGACACCTTTTTCTGACCTCTGTTAGCACCAGGCAAGCACCCATGTCGTGCATGCACAGACAAACATGCAGGCAGAGCAACCACATACAGAAAATAAAAAGAATTAAGTATTTTGAAAAAAAAAAAAAAAGAAACCCTTATTTTGAGCTGGCGATATGGCTCAGTGAAGAAGAGCACATACTGTTCTTGCAGAGGACCTGAATCCCAGCACACAGGATAGCAGCTCATAAACCCCTGTAGTTCCAGTTTTAGGGGATTTACAGCCTCTGTGAGCATCTGAACTCATGTACACAGACCCACACACAGACATAAAAGTAAATAAATCTTCAAAAGAAGAAAAACCCTTATTTTGATGCTATCTTAGCTAGGGTTTCTATTACTGTGATAAACACCATGGCCAAAAGCAAGTTGGGGAAGAAAGGGGTTATTTCACCTTGCAGATCTTAGCCCATCATCAAGAGAAAGTCAGGGCAGGAACTTGGAGGCAGGAACTGAAGCAGAGGTTATGGCGGAGGCTGCTTACTGGCTTGTTCCTCCTGGCTTCCTCAGCCTTTTTTTTTTTTTTTTTTTTTTTTGTTTTGTTTTTGTTTGTCAAGACAGGGTTTCTCTGTGTAGCTTTGGAGCCTTTCCTGGCACTCGATCTGGAGACCAGGCTGGCCTCTAACTCACAGAGATCCGCCTGCCTCTGCCTCCCCAGTGCTGGGATTAAAGGCGTGCACCACCAACGCCCGGCCAGCCTGCTTTCTTATAGCCCAGGGTAGCATCACCCACAGTGATCTGGGCCCTCCAACATCAATCATCAGTCAAGAAAATGTACCACAGGTTTGCCCACGGGTCAATCTGGTGAGGACATTTTCTCACTTGAGGTTCCCTCTTCTTGGAATGAAGTTGTATCAAGTTGACAAAACCAGCCAGCAAGGGAGGAAGGGAGGGAGGGAGGGAAGGGAGGAAGCGAGGGAGAGAGCAAGAGAAAGAGAGAGGGGGGAGGGAGAGGGAGAGGGAGAGAGAGAGGGAGAGAGGGAGGGAAGGAAGGAAGGAGGGAAGGAAGGAAGGAAAGAAGGAAGGAAGGACCTCCCTTCACTACTTGACACTGGTTTTCAATAATAGCAGCAGAGAATTTCATGATAGTCTGAGTATTCTATTAGTTTACGGACAGCTGGTTTCACAAGATGTTACTCTCTCCCCACAAGAGGGCTATAGGGCAGCACCAGGGCTTCTGAGAGCTGGGGAGTCTACCCTTGTCTTTCCCCTACCTGCAGCTTAAAGGCAAGCTCATGCTTGAGAGCCCTGAGATCATCCAGTTGCTGCCGCAGAGACACCAGGGCATCCTGCTTCTCACAGACATCCTTCTCCAGCATCTTCATAGCCAGTTCCATCTCTTGTCTCATGCTGATCTGGAGTTCCAGTTCCTTTTCAACGTCCTGCCACAAAGCAAATAAACTGCTTATACTCTTTCCTCAATTAAGTAAATGCCATAACATCTCACAAGAAAAGGTAGACAAACCCCCTTAGTGCTCAGTATTTTGGCTGAAGGTTATTTATTTTAAGAGACATTAATAATTAATAATGATTAATAAGAGGCATTAATAGCAACTATTGGGAGCCAGGCAGTGGTGGAGCACACATTTAATGCCAGAACTAAATTGGGAGGCAGAAGCAGGTGGATATCCAGGTTGGGAGTCAGCCTGTTCCACAATGTGAGTTCCAGGGTAGCCAGGGCTACCCTGTCTCAGAAAACAACAACAAATAACAATTAATTAGGAGTAAGAAGGTCATTTGTTGGGATATTCTTGATATAGCTGAGACAGCCTAGAGTTACTGGGAATGGTCAATAATTAGGCTAAGTGAAATATTCTCACCTAATACAAAACTCTTTGGTTTCTATCATAGGCACAGCAGCATTATTTAGGAGAGCAGAGATAACAACTGCAGTTCCTCTGCATTCAGGACTTAGTTTCATGACTCAAATATAAGCATATGACAATTTTCAGGTTTTGTATCATGTGTGCCCTCTTTAAATAGTTATGGTAAAAATGAACCATGCTAGCCCATGCTGACATTATTTCTAGAATATTCTTACGGAAAATATTTTAATACCTAATTTACAAACATAGTTATTTAAAGCACATTAAGATGGTTGTATTTTCAGAGAACCTGAATTTCTGCCATGTACTTTTTTTTTAAAAGATTAATTTATTTTATGTATGAGTACTACAACTTTTTGCCAGAAGAGGGCATCAGATCCCACTATAGACGGTTGTGAGCCATCATGTGGTTGCTGGTAATAGAACTCAGGTTCAGACTGGAGAAACCCACGGGGACAGCTGACCTGAACAAGGGGCTGCTCATGGACCCCAGACTGATAGCTGGGAAACTAGTATAGGACTAATCCAGACACCCAGAAGGAGGAAGTCAGTTTGGATGTCTGGACAATCTACAGGGCCTCTGGTAGTGGATAAGTATTTATCCCTAGTATACGAAGACTTTGGGAGCCCGCTCCACGCAGAGGGATACACTCGGGAGGGCCAAGGCCCTGCTCCACATGATATGATAGACTTTTAAGATCCCCTATGGAAGGCCTCACCCTCCCTGGAGAGCAGAAAGGAGTTGGGATAGGGGGTTGGGGGGACAGAGGAGGAGGGGAGGGAGAGGGAATTGGGATTGACATGTATAAGATGCTTTTTTCTAAAAAAAAAAAAAACCAAACCAAACCAAACCAAACCAAACCAAACCAAAACACCTCAGATCCTCTGACAGAGCAGCCAGTGCTCTTAACTGCCAATCCATCTCTGCAGTTCCCTCTGTCATATAGTCTTAACTTGAAGTAACTTATTAGTACAAATTAAACCACCCCTCATTTTCAACTTCACACATTCTTAGAGATACAGCAGAGTGGGCATGGGCAAGAAACAGTTTTATAGGGTTTCTAAAAAAAGGTGCATTACTGAGCATCAGGACCTTTCTGGGTCACCTGAAGCTTCTCCAGAGCCCAGCCCTCTCATGTGTCCTAGCTACTAGAACTTAAGGAAATTTACCAATCGTAACTGTGTCTCCTCCTTTAGATGCTTTCTTGCTTCACTCAGTGCTTGCCCTTCTGCAGTTCTGTCTTGTTTAGGACCCTTGAGAAGGTAAATAAAAGTACATATATATATATAAGGACTTAATTAGAGACTCTACATCAAATTAGCAGTTGCAATAAAGAATTTCAAGTTGAGTGTATTTTACAAGGTTATGTTGAGTTGGAAGTTTGCTGTTCTTCATTTAAAACCCTGAAGTGAGTTACCAAAACTGGTGATGGAGACTCCCCCATCAGTCTTGGAAAACAGTATCATAACTGTGTGTAGTTTGTCAATTCTTGTAATCTGAGCACTTGGAGGCCTGGCCAGAAGACTGCTAAGAGTCTGAGGCCAGCCTGGAATACAGACTAAAACACTGTCTAAAAAACAAAACAAAAACAACCCCCCTCCCTGAGAGAAACAAAACAAAAAACCAACCACCCACATACCAAAACAAACAAACAAAATAAGTGGCTGGGATATAGTGCAGGTGGTAGAATGCTTGCTTGACCTTCATGAAGCATTTCATCCAATCTCTAGCACCTCATAAAACAGGAACCATGACTCCGATCTTTTCCCCTGGCACTTGGGAGGTGGAAGCAGGAGGATTAGGAGTTCAAAGCCATCCGTGGTTATATACCAAGTTGTAGGCCAGCTTGGGTTACATGGGACCATGGATCAAAAACAAAAACAAATAAACACAAACCCCCGATACCCTGATTCACTGCAAAATATGAGTTGGTTCAGGTTTGGATGGTACTACATTCTTTTCCCAGAGATTTCACAGATAGCTGTCCAAAGATCATGGCTAAAAGGAAGTAGGCCATTAGAGAGATTCTGCTGTGCATTTATAGCTGTTTTAATGATGTCCATGCATAAAAGCAAATACTTATATACACAGGAAACAGCTTTTATCCCATTACAACTCTAGAAACATGAACAGTAGCAAGGAAAGGTGCCAGTGAAGTCAGAACAAACAAGCAAGCAACCCTACACTCACAGTTGATAGATACATCAATTAGAATATCCCCTTAAAGCAATACTGTCATTTAGAACAATTTCTGTACCATGACACCATCAGGGCAGAAAGCATCACATCATGCTCCCTAAGGAGGTTGAACACTGGACGCTCACTTGCAAGCCCAGCAATTCTGGAGGCAGAGAAAGGAGGATCTCTGAGTCTGAGGCCAGCCTGATCTACAGAGTGAGTTCCAGGACAGTCAGGGCTACAAAGAGAAACCCTGTAACAAACAAACAAACAAACAAACAAACAAACAAACAAACAAACAAACAAACAAACAAACAAACAAACAAACAAACAAACAAACAAACAAACAAACAAACAAACAAACAAACAAACAAACAAACAAACAAACAAACAAACAAACAAACAAACAAACAAGCCCCCTCAACATACAAAATCTTGGTCCTTGAAAGTACTGTTATGTAGAAAACTCATTTGCATACTAACCTTTCCTTGTGGCAACAGATAACTTTAAAGAGTAGCACAGTGTAAAAATGGTATACTTGTTATTACATGAAACAAATTATTTTATGATATGAAGGTTTTGCCTACATTTATGTCTGTGCATACTTGTGTGCCTGGTGATCCCAGAGGGCAGAGGAGAGAATTGGATCATCTAGAACTGTAGTTACAGATAGCTGAGAGCAGCCAAGTGGGAGTTGAAAATTGAACTCAGATCCTCTGGGACAACAATAACTTTCTTAACCACTAAGCCATCTCTCCAGCTCCATTATGAAGATTGTAATCACTAAACACAGTACAAATTATTAGCAAATACAAGTCTCTAAACAAATGTAAGCAACGATGAGCTGTGGCAGAGCAGAGCCTCTGAGAGCTGTAACCTGTTCTTGTTACACACAGTCCTGAGAAAGAGTATGCTTGATATGTGCCAATGTCCAGGACTGGCTACTGCCCTGTGGTTTACACAGTGCAGTGTCCTCTCCACGAAGGTCTCAGAACCCACTTAGGACTAACCTTCCGACTGGATTCCAGTAGATAGGAGCTTTCTTCTTTAACTCGTTCCATTTCTTCTTGTAAGGTAATGATTCTGTTGTTGGCGACCGCAAGCTGTTGACCAAAATTAAAAACAAAAACCTTTTATTCTTTTATTAGAGAGGATAATTTGTTATCAGGCATGATTTTCAGACTTGAATATTCTTAGGAATCCATAGCTAAGGGAAGCTATTTATCACCCACTAAAATTATTCTCAACAGTCAGATATGGGGTGCATGTTGTAATCCCAGCATTTTGGAGCTGGGGCTAGTAAATTCTCTTTAGCTTCAACTACAAAGAGGATCCAGTATCAGAAAAATAAATGTTCTAATGAGGAACACAGGGGAAGTATCTTTCAAGTACGTAAGATAAAAATAAAAATCACCTGACATGGCTTCTTTTATATGAATACTTTTATTTTGGATGTGTGTGCATGGGTGCACATGTCTGAGTGGGCGTGGATGTATACAGGTCAGAGGTTCCTGCTGGGAATCTCCTTAGTGTTCTCTCCCTTACTGTTTGAGACAAGGTCTCTCACTGAACCTGATACTCAGGCTTTGGCTTACAATGGCTGGCCAGTGAGGCCCAGGATTTGCCTGGGTCCATCCCCCAGGGCTAGGACTACAAACATGTGCTGCCACGCCCAGTATTTACACAGGTACTAAGCATTCAAACTCAGGTCCCCATGCTTGCATAGCAGCCATTTTCCTCATCTTACTATGCCCCAATGCTAATACTGTTTAATTCAAGAGCACCTCCATGGCTACGTTTCTAAACACATTCAGTAAGAATGCTTCTAAAATGTTCACAGAGCAGGTCCTGCCTCAGCAACAAATGAAGAGAAGATGGTGAAATGCTGTCTAAACCAAGGCTGAATAAAGTATTCACTTCCTGTTATGGGAGTCACACTGTGAACTCTCCAAAAGACCTTTTATAGGTAATTCAGCTAAGGCAGGAGGGTTCGAGTTTAAGGTCAGAGTGAGCTAAATAAGACTGTATTTCAAAAAAGACACAAACTATATATTAACTATTTATCTATCATCTATCTATCATCTTTCTATATCTCTATGTTCTAAAGAAAAATTAGCAGTATTAGCGCACTGAATTTCTTTAAACCAAGTTTATCTCACTATACAACAGGGCAATCAGAAACAGCAAATGAGCTTGCTTCTGGCTCACTTACTTAAGATCTTGGTGCAGATATCTACTCCCATTAAACAAAGGCCGAGCTACAGATTTAGCCTTCCGATCAGATGTCAACCATGAGGTTAATTTCCTCTTCTTATTCTAAGGACTCTTCTAAGTACTTTCCGGTTTACAGTCTTGCCTAATCTCCAGAGGAAGCATAAGCACCCCCATCTGGCAGTGGGGAAACTGGGTTTTTTTCAGAGATCAAGTGACCAACTTAGTCAGGAGCACATGACAGTAAGAAGCAGTGGGGATCACTGGCATTCCCTCTAGCACTGCTTGTGTCAGGCATGCTCAAGAACAGACAGGATGTGGGGGTCAGGAGCTCCTGGCTTGGAACACACATCAGTGGTCAAGAGAAATCTGTCTAAAAGAGATGGGGGTGGGGGAGTCTTTGTCTAGATGGACCACATCAACAGTGGCCAAAATGCTCACTGAATTCTGAGTATCTCACTGTAGTCTATCTAATCCCACCGGGAAGGGAGTGACTAAGCAGCCAACACAAAAAGTTATTTCCAATGGGACCTCCTGAAACTGAGAAGCTTCTGCAAGGCAAAGGAAACAGTCAGTAGGATAAAACGACCACCCACAGAATGGGAAAAGATCTTCACCGATCCCACATCTGACAGAGGACTGATTTCCAAAATATATAAGGAGCTCAAGAAGCTAGCCACCAAAACACCAAACAACGAAATTAAAAAGTGGGGTGCAGAACTAAATAGGGAATTCTCAACAGAGGAATCTGAAATGGCTGAAAGACACTTAAAAAAGTGCTCAAAATCATTGGCCATCAGAGAAATGCAACTCAAAACAACTCTGAGATACCATCTCACGCCTGTCAGAATGGCTAAAATAAAAAACACCAATGACAATCTATGCTGGAGAGGATGTGGAGAAAAAGGAACACTCCTCCATTGCTGGTGGGAGTGCGATCTTGTAAGACCACTCTGGAAATCAGTATGGCGGTTGCTCAGAAAAATGGGAATCAGTGTACCTCAAGATCCAGCCATTCCTCTCTTGGGTATATACCCAAATAGGGCATGTACTTACAACAAGGACATATGTTCAACCATGTTCATAGCAGCATTGTTTGTAATAGCCAGAACCTGGAAACAACCTAGATGCCCCTCTATTGAAGAATGGATTGAGAAAATGTGGTACATTTATACAATGGAGTACTACTCAGCAGAAAAAAGCAATGGAATCTTGAAATTCGCAGGCAAATGGATGGAACTAGAGGAAACCATCCTGAGTGAGGTAACCCAGTCACAAAAAGACAAGCAAGGTATGTACTCACTGATATATGAATTTTAGACATAGAACAAAAGACTACCAGTATATAATGCTCTTCACCAAAGAAACTAGGAAACATGAAGGACTCTAAGGGTTAAATGGTCCCCAGGAAGGGAAGTGGCATGAACTCCCGA